TGTTGTCTGACTGGCTTAGAGGATAGCCTTGTTGTCTGACTGGCTTAGAGGATAGCCTTGTTGTCTGACTGGCTTAGAGGATAGCCCTGTTGTCTGACTGGCTTAGAGGATAGCCCTGGTGTCTGACTGGCTTAGAGAATAGCCTTGTTGTCTGACTGGTTTAGAGGATAGCCCTGTTATCTGACTGGCTTAGAGGATAGCCCTGTTGTCTGACACCTCCAAGATCGGGGCATGTGTGGAGCCTCCCTGGGGTACCACAGCTTCCACTCACAGTCCATAGACATGCGATTAAGAACAGGCCTGTTTTGTCTTGTTCCCCTGCTCAGGGATCCTGCTTTGTTTGGTAACAATTTACATTAACTGCACCTTCATAATGCCTTTATATTGCCTTTGGTGCCCCTTCATAATGCGTTCATAATGCATTTATAGAACATTCATAAGCAGCATGTAAGTATACCTTAACATCCTAACATGCCTTAAGAGCTTTAATATATATTAATAACAAACATTATATGATTACATGATATAGTATTTATTATTGTTATTTGTTATTAATATACTTAGTATACTTAAAGTATACTTACATGCTGCTTATGAATGCAATATGAAGGCATTATAAAGGTGCAGTTAATATAAAGCATTTTGTTTTACTCTTTGAAACACATGGCTAAGCCCCTTGGTGTACAGACCCCTATCTTTCTTACAGGTATTACTTAGTTGCTTTTGTGAGCCTTGTTTATATTGTCTTGGACAAGAGCAGTCACTAAACAAATAAACAAAAAGTGCTGTAGCTGGAGCTTTTGCCCTTGAATCTTCTACAGGCAGGTTTGGATCGTAGCTGAGGTATCCATGTACTTAAGGTACTCACTTTATTAATTCACATTACCATCTCTGAAGAAAACTTTTACAGCTCAGCCAAATTCAGTCTTAGAACTGCTTGCTTGGAACTAAATATTAAATATCGATTCACGACATAAACTGGCACTGATATGACTCTAATATAATGTACTTCACAATCTTGTTCTGATTTGCCAGGAAACCTACTTGTGGAGTTAGATGTTTACATATTTTAATTAATTAAAGCTTATTATACAAGTATACACTGTGATGAAGGATAGAAAAGAGCACCTTGACTTATCGTTCACAAGTTTATCTCTACCATCATAAGAATACAATAATATAAAGTTACATTTCAAATAATCACTAAAATAATTGGTAACACTTTACTTGAGGGGCCACAAGTAACTAACTCAACTACTACTCAAGTACAAATATATGAACAAATGTAGTACCTGCATGAAATACATGAATTGTTATGATTGATTAATGAACAAACATTGGATCAGTACATAACTACCACTTACTGGTTAATTAATACCTTAAGTAAAAGTGTACTATTACATTATTTGTGCCCCCTCAAGTAAAGCATTACCAAGTACTCTGATGAAACCAGCGTTTTAAAAAAGGACATTTAAAAACAGCTGGCCTGGATTTCTTGTAAGTGCACATAAAGGACCCTCAAGACCTTACCTGTGCTCATGATCCTACACAGCTGAACCAAGCTCTTTAAGGTCAGGTAGAAGATGTGAGAGGGACTCCAGCCCCCTGCCTCAGGATCATAGCTTTCTTCATACCCTGCCCATCTCCCTGAGTCCTGCCAGTAGCGCTGCTGGTTCTCGTCCTTCATGAGTTCTTTCAGCTCAACAAAAGCCTGTGGGGGAAAAAGTCATACATGGACACAAGCCCAATGTGCTGCTCTACACATATATTTTTCTCCCAGTTACCCTATTTCTGGTTCTCCTCAACATCCATCCATCTAATGCAGCGTAGCACTTCCTAGAATACATGTGCTGTCAACCAACCAGGAGGAGAACAGCATACACTTGATGCTAGTAGCAGTTTCTAAAGCCAGCATTTCATGATCTTGAGCATTAGCCCTCTCCAGTTGGGGCACGAGCCTACCATGAAGCATGAAGAGCAAAGAGGAGTTCTTTTTGAGAGCAACTGTCATGCTCAGATTTTTCACTTGACTCATGGAAGGAAAATGTATTGCTGCATGTGTTTATGTTCTATAAACATAAAAGGTCTATAGCCCATGACAGCAAGCTTGGTGTCAGTGCTGCTGCAGACTGGGCTGCATGGAAACAATCAAGATCGATGTTTGAACTGTAAATATGCAGCATGTGCAGCATGGACATTAAAGCCCACTGGGACAAGCAAGGGGGGGGGGTGAATGTAATGAATATGCTGATTGACAGCTGACTGATGTGAAATAGACAGTATGAAGTAATGGCTCCAAAAAATAAAAAGCAACTTTCAGTGTCCAGTAATGTCAGTGTTACCAGTAATTTCACGTTCATTATGGTTACACACATTTAATACAGAATATTACCTATCAGTCCTCTTTGACGGTGAACACTCAGGATGGCTCAAATACAAGCAAGGCAATCGAGAAATAAGTCAACCAATAAATGATAAAAGACAAATTCATAGCAAAACTCTTTATTCACTTTGTGAATAAAGTTTTACCACAAAATTGAGACAGACTGTCAAGGTCTTTGAAATCACACCCTTTAATGTGCCTCCATATTAATTTATGTACGTGGAGTCCAAGAAGAGACGATTACTTCAAAGGCATAATTCATCCTCTTTGTACATACATACTGCTTTTTCTTAAAATTACTAGGCTAAAACTAATTTTTTGTCTACCTACTTTCTGAAAGTTGTTGCCTCATTGTGAGCAACATACTGGAAATATAAAAAAGAAACCACATAACAAAAAGCAAAAGAAAACATTACTATGCTTTCTGTGGAATTAAAGTGTCTGAATTCCAAGTGTTTTATGTTGGACATTCTATGTATGCTGTGTGTTGTATGTCTTAGAATTTAAATTTTTTTTTTCTTTTGTTATGCAAAGAAATTAATTGCTGTTTAGGCTCCACATAAAAATTGTTCCATATAAAACTTATGACAGCCATGCACAGATTTTATGGCCAGTTTTATCAAATTTTATACTTATAGAAGCTTCGTATTCTTGTTTATATTGTCACGAGGAAGGTTAAACATACCCACTGGAAATGTTCTCAGTTATTTCTTTGTAGTTTTATGTATTCTTGATTTTCCTTTCTATGTTTATAATTTATCTCTGTTAAACCTAATAGTATAATAAAAGCAATAAAAATACTGTTGGTGTTCCAGATAACTTGTTTCTATTAAATAAAAACAATTGCTGTTATGCATGAATAAGAAAAAACCACACGTACCTGTACCAATGTATTGGCCAACAAGCAACTTTGAGATGCAACTGACCCCTCACCAAGAAAAGTGACCTAACTCCTGACTTTATACACTCCCCCGACCCTTTAGTGTCCGGGGCCCTAAGACGCAAAAACACACCCACACACACACACACACACACACTCAAATGCTGCCACTCAGTGCAGCATGTTCTTGATTTAAACCACAATATATTGATAGTAAACAGCACTACTTGATAACCACAGACTGGTCAGGCTGTGTCATTGTGTTTGGCTGTGTTATCATCTTCACAGGCCTGTTTGGAATAAACAGAGGACAGGATTACTAAACCATGCTCACCTTCAAGATCTGGGTAGAGTATGATCCTCTGGAAATACGGGTTCCCCCCTAATCCTGGTACAGTTCCAGGTCATTGCTGTGTCTGTAGTCTGCAGACCTTTAAAAACAAGTTGAAAGACTCCCCTGATATGTAGTCCCGGACCATTCCAGATCTCATCAGATTAACTGTCTTATGCAACCTCCACTTCTAGATACAAGCTTTACCAACATTAAACGAAAAAAAACCCTGTGTGTGAATCAGCTTGGTCAAGATGGGGAACAACCATGTTCTCCACTGGAACACAGTCGTGTCTGTGAGAGTACCTAAAATCCCATATATCCCTGACAGCACTGTTGCAGTGGCACCTGTTGTTTTGGAAACCTGGCATTTCTGAATTTTAATCTCTACTGAATAATCACTGTTAGCAATGTACAATGCGATCCAAAATCTGGTGTAGGCTTGTTTTTTAAAGTAAGAGTTATGCAGAAAATAAGCACCAAGGTTCAGCATCCTGATCTGAAACATAAATTTCCTTTGGGATCAATAAAGTACTACCACTACTACTTCAGTGGTATACTGAGTAATATGGTTCTTCTACCTCAGGGGTGTCAAACTGCAGTCCTGGAGGGCTGGAGCCCTGCACATTTTTGGGTTTCCCCTCATCTAACACACCTGATTCAAATCCTTGCAACTCCTTGTGCTAATTACCACACAGCTCTTGAGCTGGATCATTTGTGGTGGAACAAGGAAAGAACTCGAGGACTGGAGTTTGACACCCCTGTTCTATCTGGTCCTGAAGAGCAAATATATCACATATACAGCAGATTATAGTTTTAACTGAAGCATTTCTCTCTGACATTCGTCGGTTTATTTTGAGATAACCGCCCATTTTAGGCCTACAGCTGTTGGAACTCTAGTGACAAGAAACAAGTAGATTCATCACCAAATACATGATTGACTAGGAGAATGGAGTAATGAACATGGTTTGGCAGGCAGTCAGTCAGAAGCACAAATGTAAGACAGACCATAAAAGTTGAGTGCAGAGACAGCAATGTTTAGGTGACAAACTGCTTTGTAATGCCTCATTAAATATGTGATGTAAGCTTGCTCCACTTACTGCTCCAAATGAGTATTTGACATCAGTGTGATGAGGTTCTTCAGGAGCCTCCCTTTTCATCAACTCTTTTCATTTAAAAAAACAAACATGTATAGACATATAAACAACAATTGGAAGTTAATGCATAGCCATTTATTTTTGATGTCAAAGAGGGGTTTAGATTAATACTATGTTATTAATTAACATTAATACTGTGACACCCCCTTTTGAAGAATTCATTCTGTCCATCCATCTTTTGACCACTTTTCCTTGTCAGGGTCACTGGGAGCTCTGGAGCGCATCCCAGGTTGGGGTACACCCCGGAAGGCAGTCCACCATAGGGTAGATATACTCACACGCAGAGGAATGTATTATAATTCCTAACATAAAAATGCAGAACTGATTGTGTATTGAATAACATTTTGGTCACTTTCAAAACAATAAATACCAATAATAACAATAATATTACTACTATTAATGCTCTTGTAGAGAAACTTGCAACCTCGTCCTTTTGGTCATTACCCATGCATCATGATCACAGGTGAAGATATGGATGTAGATTGGCCATTTAACTGAAATCCTTATCTTATGTCTTAACTCCACCTCCTCAGTACCCACAAAACTACAATCACCAAAGCGATCCACTTCTCAGTCTCACGTTCCCTCTTACCATCACCCTTGAACAGGATCACGACAAGGTAAACATCTTCACTAAGGGCAGAATCTTCCCCTTACCTTCCCCCTTATCTCTCTTTTCCGAGAGAGAACAGTGGTGTCAGATATTGTGGTGCTGAATCTAATCCCTGCTGCTTCACACTTGGCTTAAAATCGTTCAGGTATATGCTGGCAGTCCTGGCTGGACAAAGCCGAAAGCCCAGCAGCCACAGATAGCAGTGGTGGCACGTTTAGACTCCCATACCAGATGCCCTTCCATCCACAGATCGCCTTGGTATCCTGCCCATAAAAATCAAAAACAGAACAGGAGAAAAGACTCAACCCTGCCAGCAGGAAATATCCACATTAAACAGCTTTAATTTTGTGCCAGTGCAGACACACATAATATGAAGCAACACAGCATTTACAATCATGTATTAGGTGTTTTTTCTGTCATATAAAGTTTAACAGTAGATGTAGCATGAGTATTCTTCCAAGTAGGTCATGTTGTGGAAACATAAACATGAATAGCTCGCCATGTTCAAAACAACAATGCATCCTGAAGATTTGACTTTCAGTTGTACTGTAATAACAACTATTTAATTGCAACAAGTGTTAACAAGATAGACCATTTCACATTTCCAGCTATTTCTTAAGCATGCATCATACTTACATGACTAACCACCAATTACTACTGGTTCACTCTTCTTTCACATTCAGATAAAATTACCTCATATATCTCAGCGCTCCCATACTCTGTTGCTCGAACTCTCTGGTAGCTACTTGATGTCACTTTGATCTGTAATGTGAGATGGGAGGAAAGACACATGCGTGGTCTTGTGTTTGCCACTCAGTAAAATGAAGCCCCCTTCTCTTTTGAGCTTTGTACTGTTCCGTTTGAGATCTACCCCCACCCTTTTTGTGGGGCCAGGGTGCTATAGGGAGGACCTTGTAGATTACATTTTTGCACAGGCCTATTTATTGATTCACTGATACAGGTATCAAACTCTTCTTAAGAACAATATCTTGTCTACTATTTGTGTATGATCATTTTGTCGGGGGGGGGGGGGGGG